CCCCTCTCTCTCTCTCTCTCTCTCTCTCTCTCTCTCTCTCTCTCTCTCTCTCTCTCTCTAGTCGTGCATCAAAAATTATTGAATAAGATAAAAAGGTCTTTTGAAAGTCGGTACACCAAATTAGACATAATTGTAAAAAAATATATACAACAAAATTTTTTTAAAAAAGTACACAACTAAGATACAAAGATTTAAATGCTCATTTTGTAAAATTTTTATTCCTAAAAACTTTAACAAGACATTTATTAAGCGCTAAAATTTAAGGTCATTTAATTTAAAATCTCTTATCTTTTTTTTTCCGGTTAGTAAAAAAAAAAATATCTTATTTTTAATAAACCTTAATTCATACGTATTTTTTTAAAAAAAATGGTTTTATTTTCAAATTATATTTATGCATTAAATATTTACTACTACAAGTTTTACTACTAGTTTTATAGAAGAATTTTAATATTTCGTTTATTTTAAAATATATCATTTGTTTCAATTTCAAAATTTATCACTATCCAAACTTCATAATAATGTAACAAAAACAATGAAACAAATATAATGTAACAAAGACAATATAACAATACATCGTAACAAAAAATGTTCAATATTTTCGTGTATGTGATAACAAATTTAAAACGGAGATAAACTATTTTGAATGAAATTATATAAAAATATATATTTGACAAAATATAATAATACAATATTTTATATAAATGACTTGTTACACTGTTGTTGTTACACTATTCGGATATTAAAATAATTTAAAAACAAAACCACTTTCAAAAAAATATACACATGAATCAAAATACATTAAATAAAATTTAAAAAACAAAATCACTTTCCAAAAAAAAAGCGCATGAATCAAGAGAAAACATATAAATATAAAATATTAAAATTTTCCCATAAAACTAAGAGATGTTTAATGAACCATTTTTCAAAGAAAATACACATGGATTAATGAAGAACAAAAATATCACAAAAAAATCAATAATATATAAATAATGTATTTAAGTACAAATAAGTATCAAAATTAACGATTTAATTACCCAATATTTTTTTATATATATTTTTTTACAATTAAATCTAATTTGGTATACCCTTCCAATTTCCCCAAGATAAAACTCCGCAAGCCTTGATTATAACATCCAACTTTCGATAGGCTGAGATGAGAAAAGACACTTGAGCCTACTTCAAAACTCCTTCAATCAAGTATGTCTTTCAAAATCAGAAACCAATAAAATCACACCTCACTTTGTGCTAAAGAACAAATGTAGTATTAATAATAGCATTTAGCGACGACCCAAAATGGATCTTGTTTTCATTCAGGGAATGATTCAGAAATAAGTGCCACTACTGACAAATCTTGTCGAACTTGCCTTTCTTGACATACAGAAGCCGCTTCTTTCAGGGATCAAAATCAAAGTCAACATAAATCAATTTCCCAGAAGAGTAAACATGCTGGATAGGAGATAAAACCACTGAGGAACCCGAACTTTTCCTTCCCAAGGTGGTCAATTCTCACATATATCCGCCATAGCCTTCTCGCATTGGTGATAGACCTAATCTACGGAATAACTTTCTGTGATCAGTGATGTGGTCATGAAAGAAGTTGCAACCACCCACGTGGTGTTGCTTGGTTTCTGATGCAGTAATACAAAACAAGTTAACGATAGAGTAATCAATACCAGTAAGAAGTGTACCATGGTGGACATTGTGACTATAGCAACATAACTGATTAATCTCCAACCTTGTTTTTTTCATTAATATTTTTCCCCGGCATTAGACATTGAACAGTATTTTAACATACATCTCTCAATAGGCACGCACGACAAAATATCAAGTTGGCATAAAGTTGATAGTGCTGTTTCCAGACCTGTAACTCTAATATCAACTACACACGTGAACAACTGACTGGAAGTGTCCCGAACCAACAAGGTGCGCATACTGCTGTCTAATTTACCAGGGTACAATGTAAAGAATACCAGAATTTATTGACAAATCAATAGTGTAGTATACAAACAATGCGAGAAAAGATCATCCCCGAGGCACCACCAGAAAATGGACCATACCTTTATTTCGTCCACCAATAAATCAAAATGAGAAATGTGCAGACGGAAGCAACTAAGGAAAGGATGATAGTATCCATAGACTTTTTCTTCTTTATCGCAGACAGAATATGATTTACCTGTAATGTTGAATCAAATAAGGATCAATACTACTGACAGATAATCAAGCAGTACAGCTATGTTACCAATGGCCAACATAACATAAGGTAAGCATGCACATCAATAACCCCTTTTTACCTCCATAGCATTGACGGCATAGTACTTTTCTAAAAGTTATTTCGGCATNTACAGCTATGTTACCAATGGCCAACATAACATAAGGTAAGCATGCACATCAATAACGCCTTTTTACCTCCATAGCATTGACGGCATAGTACTTTTCTAAAAGTTATTTCGGCATCCCCATGACCAAGTGCATTGTCAAAAAATTCACTCAGTCTAGTGAAAATTTTAGGTAGGGCTGTTAAACGAGTCAAACTTGAATATTTTTTTAAACTCGTTTATTGTAAATAGTCAAACAAGCCAGCTCGATTATGTGTAAATAGTCGAAGGTTTAGGCTCGAATTCAGCTCGATTATCACCCCTGATTTTAGGATAAATTTCATCCACCACCTATAAATAGGTGTAACTTCAACGAAGCACCTTGCCTTTTTTGAAATTTCACTACACTCACTTTTAGTTCAGATATCTACTTCAGCTACACCCACTACCATAAACAACCGTTACTAACTATTTGAAAAGTGCTGATGTTATACCACAATTTTATTTAAATGCTAATTTTACCCTTCCTCCACATGAAACCCTTGATCCCTACCTCTCTCTCTCTCTCTCTCTCTCTCTCTCTCTCGTGCAACCACCCAACCTAGCTTCAAAACCACCATGGAAAAAAACTAAGGCACTAGTATTTCCCATGAAAACCCCTGATCTCACATGAGGTTTTTTGATTATAAAAATTGAAACAAAGCCCCAAATCAACGATTTGACTTCACACAAACCATTGATTTATAACTCCCATTCGAACTTGAACCCGAGCACAGTCGTACAAGTGAACTTCAGTCAAAGTCGACAAAAAATACCAACACCATAACGCCGTCCCCCCTTCCCCTCTAAACTCACCCAAGTTCGCAAATCACCACTCCATCACAAACCCACTGCCAAATCCCATAAATCATCAAACAATTTTGAATCTAATTCTAATTGAAACCATAAATCAAAATTCACATCACCGACTAACTGCGTTATATCACCCATCAAAATCCAATTCTACCCGATCTCCATCCTTAAAAAATTCATCAATCACAAATGTGAAATTAATCACACTACACGAATTGGATTGGAATGGTTGTGGTAGTAGTAGGCAAATGCAACGGTGGTGGGTGCATGTAGTGCCGGTGATGGGGTTAAAAAATCCATTTGATCTCTCTCTCTCTCTCTTGTTTCGTACCTTAACTTGGGGTAGGGTGCGTGTGGGCTTCTCTCTCCTTCATTACTTGTATGCATATACCTATATGCAAGTAGTGGCAGTGGCAGAACTGTGTGATTGTTATGAATTGGGACAGAAGTAAAGGAAATCATCATCTCCTTTCTCCCTCTTCTCTCTCTGTGATTGTTATGAATTGGGACAGAAGTAAAGGAAATCATTATCCCCTTTCCCCCTCTTCTCTCTCTATCACTCAATAGCAGGCTAGTATGGGGATAGCGGCTACTAGTGGGTGGGAAAAAAGGAGGGATAGGCGTAATTAGTGGGAGTAATCAAGTGGAAGGGTTAAGTAGAGAGGGAAAAAGATCAACGGAGGTGGGGAAGGAGGTGGAAATGGAAGGGGTGGGTGGCGAAGAAGGTGGGATTGGGTGGTAAGGGAGAAATAGGTTGGGGGGTTGGCATTTGATCTCTCTCTCTCTCCATATTATATATATATATATATATATATATATATATAGCTTAAATAAAAATAATTGGTTAACATGTTAATTTTTATAAAATCCATGGGTAAAATGGTAAAACACTCATTTTCGTCACGTCTGTTAGCAAAAAAACATTGATTGGGGGTGGCAATAAAATTTCAAAAAAGGCAAGGGGTGTCGTTGAAGTTAGACCTATCTACAAAGAGTGTGGATGCAATTTACCCAAAATTTTATCACAAGATCCATTGTGCACTTGGATATTATAAATGCCATCATTTGTAATCACATTTTACAAACACCATTTGGTACCAATATAATGAAATAACCAAAATGAGTATCATACCGTTGGCAGGCGACTGCTAACATTACTAAGCTTTGAATTAATACCACCAAATGTGGAACGTTGAAATACCAATGTCCTTAAGGTTTCTTGTGCTTGAGAAATCACATTGTCCGTCTGTAGCAATAACAAATAACAAATTTGTGAGTGCAGGTGCAAAAATATACAATATAAGTGTTCAAATTATATATAGAGAAAAGGGAAAGGAAGAAGAAAAAATGACTCAAACTAGAGTAGCAAGACCAGCTCTCTATTTATTAATGAAGAAGAACTTGTTAGAGAACCCCTACTAATAGAAACTACTACAATTCGCGCTCAAGTTGGAGCATTGGTATCAGTTATGCTTGTTATAAAGATCTGTAAAAATTGCCACTTACACCCTTAGGAGACATATCACCACCTAGTAAAAAGTAGTTTCAACTTTAACATATCATTGACAAAAAGACAATCAATTTTAATATACTCATGTACCGGCGATATCCATAGCTGCTTGATTATCGCAATATGTTGTTGAAAGGTTGTTTCTACTCATAAAATCAAAATTTAATTATGTGCAAAGAAAAGAGAATCTAGTAGAAGCATTGTATGTTCTATGCTTTCCATTAGCCTATGCTATCAAATTTCATTTTTAACAAAAGAAAATAGCTTGTTTCTATTAATAAAATCGAAATTTAATTCTGCGCAAAGCAAAGGGAATCTTGTAAGAGGCATTGAATGCCCTATGCTTTCCATTAGCCTATGCTATCAAATTTCATTTTTAACAAAAGAAAATCCAATTGAGATCTTAAAACTCATAAGTTTATGGTTTCTAAATTGAAAATATACAAGATAAGTTTTAGCAACTACAGTACGGAAGATTATATATATATATATACACACACACACACACTACTATAAAATATCAATATCCCTAAAAAAAACTATTGAAATCCTAATTTGCCTTTAAAATAAATGGCTTAGGTCAAAAATTATCTAACCTTAAATACTTTACTAATAGGTATTGATTAGTATTTGGTATATCATAATTAATAGTTATAATCTATACTATTAATAAAGGTCAATTAATCGTGAAAACTTTTAGTTTCTAATTTTACACCCAATCAGTCACAGTCATTTTGGCCCCCTCTTTTTTTTTTTTTTTTTTTATTTGACCCTATAGCTTCACGGAGTAAGTATTTTAATAGCTGTTAGTATTTCACTTTTATAACAGATTCTCACTTTTCTCTCTTTTTTTGCCACTTAAAACGTAAAAAACAAAGTGTAAAGTTAAAAAAGATGAAAAGTCCCACAAACATGTATATATGTATAAGTGATAGCTCAGGTGTACACGTAGGTATTTTTATTATTGAATTGAACATCTGTCTTTATTACCTACATAATACATTTTATTTATCTACATTTCATATTTATCTACACTATTAGATCTCAGTCTCGTTCTCTGCACCCCATTTCTCTCCGTGACTGCCTCCCCTCCATTGTGTATCATCGGGTGGAACAAAAGGGTGGCTTTTTTTAGATCCATCCTTGATCTTATATATGTCGCACAATTTGGTTTAATTTTGTTTGTATGTACGCTATATTATCATAATTCAAAGTTCTTTACTCCACCATGGTTGTCCCGATTGAAATACATGATCTAATTGGATCATATTCATCTGTGTTTGTCTTATATATTCATCCACATCTGCAAACACCCACTCACACACACTTTATGCACATGCGCGTCTGTCTAAAATTGTCCATATATTAGTCAAATGCATATTTGGAGTGACTTTGATTGACATATTGCATTGAGACTAAGCTAAACTATTTTTGCGGATTACTAATTGTCTGCCATTGAAGGAGTGGTATGAAAGACCGGACAAGTGTTCTAAGTGCCATTTCAGTGGCAATTATGTTTTCTATTTCAATTTCCAAAGTAGACTATCGGTATATCACAAAATAATGATGATAATAACTTCAATAACACGAGGTATTATTTAATTTAGTCACATCAACTTGTATTTTTCTAAATTAACAAAAAGTGTAATACCTAAATATGTTCACGTGCACCGCACGTGGTGCATTGCTAGTCTGGAAAAAATGTTTAAATGAAGATAAATGGTGATGGTCACAATAATCACCGAATCACTTGGTGTTGCTTCAGTAACACAGACATTAATATCAAGCTTACCGGCCAAATCACTTATCGTATCTAAGTACTGTATCAAGTAATCTTTTGAGACATCCATAGACGGCTTTAATAAACAACTTCTCTAGTTATTTAGAAAAATACAAATTTGCTTCCAAAATACCTGTCCAGAACTTCTACTGAGTGATGCACGTTCCTTAAGAAGAGCCTGCTCATAAGAACCACCACCTTCTTCCAGATCTAATCTTGTACGATCAAATTCCCTGAAATCTTCAAGCAGGGAAGCATGCTCTTTCTTAGCTCTAAGGCTGGAGCGGAGACGATTAAATTCCTGTAGTTCATTAATATTAAACATTGCATAACCACTAGGAAAGAAAAATCACTATGGTCAGCCATTACAAAGCAGAAGGCAAAAGACACCTGACCAATACTTCACAGTATCACAAGCACATTTGCCTGAATAATAAGTCCGTCCAAAAAGCTTTAAAAGAAACAATGGAAAATATGGTATTTTGATGATCTATATTATGAATCACTATAAAAAAATAAAAAATATTATGAGTCATCATAAATGTATGCAGTTTTAATCAAGCCAATTTAAAATAAGCTTATTTCAAGTGATAATCCACCTTCATCACTTTTCATTTGTGCATATTTCTCCATTTTCCGTAGTTATAACTGACCATACAAATCTCGAAGACAAAATAAATATGTTATGAGGGTTTATTTGTATGGGTGTGGGATGCCTCCACCATTTTTCAGTTGGTTAGGGATTCAGCATTGCAATGGCGGTGGCAGTAGCGGTGGGTGGGCTTCTGGAATGTGGTGCTGAGGCTTAGAGGGTTCTACATGTATTAAGGTTTTAAGATTTGATAAACCACATAATACGGATAACATTTCGAATGAATCAACCACAGCTAGAGGTTTGATGACATGCTTGGCCATCTGATATGGGGCAAACTTAGGCCAGGTCCAAAACTAAAGGAATGTTTTTTTTTAGGTAAGTAACTAAAAGAATGTTTAACTCACCTATAATATGCTAAGCTGAATTACAACATGAACAGTGTCAAGTCTAAAATTTTGCATGGGCCTCTTGTGAACCCTTGCCCAATCATGTTTTGAGTTAGGATAAATCTTATCCAGTTGAATTTTAAGCTTTATGAATGGTTAGTACTATTTGTAGTTTCAAAGCTATGTGACAAGGGTATTTGGTTAATTTAAAAAATGGATAAGAATTGAATTGTACTTAGAGACTCAATGACCTATTTGCAGCACTCTAATGCAACATTGTTGCTTGGAAAGTTTCTAACTATGCTTTGAAGAAAAATCTGGTTTAAAGGTCAATTTGAGTGATACTAAGGTTATTCCAATACTAAAGACGCTGATGACTTGATTACAATTTTGGTTCCAAAAAAAGGCAATCTTCCTACTTCCTATTTGGCCTTCCCTTTGGTTTTCCTAGTGTTGGCTTTGTTTGTATGGAATTCAGGGGTTGATAGATTTGAGAGGAGCCAGAAAACACAGATACTCACTAGGGGGTCGACGTGGCCGTATCGGACACGTGTCTGACACGGATTCATGTGGTACACGGCCGGACACGTGTACGACACCTCCACAAGTATCCTGAACAGTGAATAAAAATTTTTTGTTGCCGGATACGACTCAGATACGTGGGGATACTTGGTGGATACGGCGGGATGAAGGGATACCAAAGGGCAAAGGAGAAGAGGGGAAGAAGAGACAAAAAAGACATGCTAGAATCCAGATCTACTTCAACGATCTGTTCGGTTCAGATCTGCTTCAAGCCGCCGCCACCTTCTCCGCCTTCTCTTCTTCTTCCTCGTCCTCATATTGCGGCGGCCCTAGTTGGTCTTCTTTATCTTTTTCTTTTTCTTTTCTTCTCTCTCACTTTCTCTCTCTCTTGATTGAACAGCCAACATAATAGAGACTTTCTTTTTTAATACTTTTATGTTTTTTCCGTATAATTTATTTAAGATAAATTACACTTTACCCCCTTTGGTAAAGTGTAATTTACTCATTTATTTATTAGTTGCCAAATAAATTAACCCACACCCCACTTTGGTGTTATTCCACTGCCCAATTCTAACATATTAGTCTATTGCCCAATTTAATTAACTCATTGCTCAATTGTAAAATATTAACCAACTACTCAATTATTTCTAGATCTTATTATTATTATTTTAGTTATAGTTAGTCGTATCTTTGACGAATGCATTTCCTATATTGTGAAACTTTGTTGTATCCCCGTGTCCATATCCGTGCTTCTTAGGAGATGAGAAATACTAGGTGGAAGAGCCCGTATCTCCCCAAAGGTAGCAGCCTTACCATCAATGAAACTTTCCTCTGCAGCCTCCTAACTAACTTTGTCACATTTTCTGACGTCGGCACCTATTAAGAACGGTGGACCAGCTGCAGAGAGTTTCTCTACATGATGATTCAGGTAATGAAAATGTAAATATCATCTTATGGATTGGAGGGTGGCTTGCAATCCTCTTCAACAAGGATTTGGCAAATTACAAGGGTACAACCTCCTAAGCAAAGGGGTATGGAGGTTTAGGAGGATGGCCATAGGTTGCACAAAAGGATGGTTGATGGAAAATACGAGTGTATGGGCGTAATGGGTGTCCATCAAGGTTATGTCCAACATGGAGTCAGGTTGTGGAAGCACGTGATGTTGGTATTCGGGTCTGGGTTTAACTTAGTGGCCATAACTGTAATCTAGTCTTTCTTGGATGTAAAGAATAACTTGTCCACCAAGTGCTATTAGTCCCCAAACTCTGGTCAGTTAAACCATTGTTTTGTTGACTATATTTTGGATTATATGTGAAGAAATACTGTAAATGATATATTGTGTATCTTCTTTAGAAGTGAGTGCCTGATGTATGAGCAACCTTCGTCAGCTGGCAAAATCCAAGAGAATTTTATGAAGAATTCCTTAGTCATTTCAACTTTAACTTAGGGGTGAAACCGTAAGCTCCCAATCTCAACCTTTCCACTGCCTTGTGGCTTTCAAATCAACACTCATCACAAGTTGCAGTCCAAAAAATCAACCAAGCCATTTTCTGCAATTATAACAGATACTTCCTATATCAAGTTAGTATCGACCCATTCGCATCCCAAAGCAAAGCAGCAAAGCACACCACGTTCTTCCATCTCGAAGAATCATAAACCTACAAGCTTTCCTAAGCATAAGCCTGGCACCGAACAAAACATGCTGCAACACAAGTGGTATCTCAGAGCAAAATATCTAGTCTTTCTCCAACATTATTTCTCAATAGTTCCTCTACCACTATGATCACCAAGCAAAACTCACTAAAATCTGATGCTCTCTTACAAGAAAAGAAAAAAGATTAAGTTTCCAAAGATAAACTCTTTGAATGCAATCTCTCTAACCGTGGTTCTGAGTATAAGTTCTATAGAGATTATAGTTCTCTCTATGAAGGCTCAAAACAAATGCTTTCTTCATCAATAACAGAGGAACTAAAATGGGAAGCAAATGGGTGAAGAACCAAAGCTGAAAAATATTGTTAAAAGCTGCAAATCCTTGTGCTTGGAAGGCAGTTGGAGGAAGACAAAGTATTTCAACCCAAAATGGATGATTACCTGATTGTGCAAGTACCTGCAATCAAGGAAGTAATTTGCACACACCCCAGCAAGCAATGGATGATGTTCTCTAGAAGGCTAGAGTCAAAGCAAAGGATCTCCTACATTTACTAGCCCTTCAACAATTGATATTGAAATTCCAGGCAAATTCCATGAAATAACTGGAAAAAGAGGACTCTCTACCATAGTTATTAAATTGTGTATCGGAAGGTGTATCGTTTTTTAAAAATAATGTATCGTGTATCATAAGATACTGTGTAATTTTAAATAAATAATAAAAAAATATATATACCTGTGAAAAAAAATTATACACTCATAAAAATATAGCATTATCTTTAATATTCCACCACCTATTCAAGTCATCAACATAGTTCACTAATATTATAATACAAAGTTTATAACCATAGTTCACTAATTCAAACTTCAAACACCAAAGAGACTTTTAATCTAAATTTCTAACATCCATTTTGAACTCAATCCATAAAATTAATCAAGATTCAGAAATTTTTATACCAAAAAAAAAAAAATTAATGTCTTATTTAGACAAAACGACGTCGCTTCATCAGTGGCGGGGATAAAATTAGTGTCTTATTTAAACAAAATGACGTCGTTTTTGAAAAAAAAAATATGTTTTGCTCGTATCGGTCATATTGTAAAAACGTATCGCGTATCGGATGATACGACGCAAAAACGATATATAACTACGATTCACATCGTTTTACCTCTGTATCATAACGTATCGTACGATACTAACAACTATGCTCTCTACTACTTTCTTTGTTGCTTCTTGAAAGTCAACTGAACTTGAAAAGGATTCAAAATTACCTGAGGACAAGTTTAGCAGAGAATGAGGAGAGTGATGCAGAGAATGCAAAAAGAAAAGGTATTGTCCTGGAATTTCACATGGAGCTATTGTAAAGCCTTTCCTAATCAAGCTCTAAGGAATTCCGTAGATTCCCTTAAATTTTGGCCTTCAAATCTATACTCTGATACCATCTTAGTTATTCTCCGAACTTCCAACTCCTTTATCGATTCATTCTCATCAATAAAGCCCACAACCCTTCTTCAACCTGTAAGAATTACAAACCCATAAGTTGTACTCAATCTAAAGCCATCATAAGTTGTGCCATGTTGCAAACTGTAGTCAGTGAAATCCAAAAGTTTAATTTCTTCCCATAAGAATAGTTAGGAATCAGTAGCTTCTTTGGTTCCACAAACAAGGCTGAGATAGCTTGCTTATTGCTCTATTCACATAAGTTCACCCGTGGATAAGAACAAGATGGAATCAAATGGAAAATGAGAAGTTACTACCATTGAGGGGAACATGGCCATATAACTCGACAAACAAATCCAGAAAATTTCAATTCTAGATTCCCGTGAAAGTTCATTTCTTAAATTCCTTAAATTTCAAATAATAAAATTTACTTCTTTTACTAGTTATTCGCTCTTTTTGTTCTCTAATCAGTCATATCTCTAAAGTCAATAACCAACAATAGTCACGCTGGCCCAAAGAAAGCAAAACATATATTGAGGTAATATTCCTTTGTACCGCCACATGCAGTCATCTCTCTAAGAGCCCCCAATTTACCATCCTAAAAATAAGCCTAACGTGCCCACTCTGCTCACCTTCAAGCCTTCAATAGAGCCCTGTGAAAGCACGAATACTTCATTTAAGTCGAGGTATCCGTATTGGATACGATACTTGTTGGATGTTCGAGAATACAGATCGGATACACATTACATGTATCCTATAATAAAAAATATTTCTTTATTTTTGGATACATATTGCACATATCCAATAATCAATAAAATATTTTGTATTGCTAGATAAGTAGATACGCGGAGCAATATGTACAAACTTCAAATCTTAATTGTTATTGTTTCCTCTTAAAATCAAATATAATGATACAAATGGAAAAATTCCTATAGTTTAGGAGACGGATGGGCATTTCCCAAATAATATCTACTACCACATATCAAAAGAACATGAAATGATTAAATTCACTTTGTCTCTTGGTAACTAGTACTTCTAAGCAAATCAACTATTTAAATGCTAATTTTGATTCTTTTCACTAGTCAAGTTCACTCTGGGGGTGAACCATGATGAGATGATCTATGTTTATTCGAAAGTAAAAATTGCTTCTTTTTTAAATTGTTATTAAAGAACTTGCTAGAAATTAAAAAGTAATCATTAGATAACTATAAAAATATAAATATATTTTATTATAAAACCCCCCCCAAAAAAAAAAAAAAAGCTCCTACAGTCTACTTACTGAAGAATAGAAAGGAAGGACTCAAGGCCAGAGTAAGTTGGGTCAGTTCTGAGAATACCATAAATTTTTAAGAACTTTCGCTGTTCTATATTCAAAATATATCTTTGCACGAGAATTATGATCTGCATCTCAAATGGTCCCTTATGAAGTCTCTATTGCTCTTATTCTTATTGTGTGCCTTGTAAACTCTATAGAAATTTAGATAAACAAATCAAATTGAAACTCTGAGGCAAGTCTTTTCTTGCTCTCAATGAGTTTCACACTTCAAAGAGACTATGCTCACTAGCAAGCAAGTGTGAAAATGAGATTTCTTGCCCGATTGCTTGGGGTATGTCTATGTTGGATTTCAATGCCCAAGTGCTCCAACTTTCGAGGAGAGGAGTAACCGGGTGGTCTCTCAATCTTTTAACGACTTCATTTGATTAATGGCCGGCAAACTTCGACTTATTAACAAAAAGCTTTCTTTGACTTCAAAGTTGGATTGAACGGTTCACTAGGCTTGGCTGGTGGACTAAATAGGGACTGGATAGTGAAAGGATATTTTAAAGAGCTTGAATCCGGTGTGAGGCTTGTGCTTCTTTTTATGCCTATGGAGTGCATGAAAGGTCCTAACACGCCAGTCAAGTTTCGCAGGAAATTATGGCGATTGTGAAATTTTCATGAATTAGTCAAGGAAGGCCACTTCATCGATATATAGTTTTAAAACAACTTTCGTATTAGGTTTACCTGAGAATAATTTATTCATGAGTGATAGCAACTATGGTCTTATATAGGTGCCTACAGCATCTACAAATTTTTGTTGCAATGAAGTTCTCGATGAACAAAAACATGAACAGCTAAAAGAAATATTACTTGAGAAATATCTTGTAGAATTTCCTGATGGCGAGTCAATGTATGAGAAAATATTTCTGAACCTCCAGATGATACCCAAGCTTGCATTTGAGAATTTACTTGCTGAAGCTGTTTAAGTAATTGATCTATTCCAGATTCAAGATCATTATCCTTGCTACCATCAACTTTGGTCGCAACTTGTTTACGATATAAATGCATCTGCTCATCCAGCATTGCTTCAACCTTCCTTGCCTTGATACATCAACATGAGAGCATGAATGAATAAGAATAAAAAAATGAATAAGCTGTTATGATTTATACTAAATATGTTGATATATGATATAAAAAATGTGCACAAAATATCCCACCTTGAAATCATTGGCATAATGTGACAATGGCAAGGTAAAAAATAATGGTGTTGGTCAATTGAATTTCAATCGAAATGGAAAAAACAAATATGTTCAAAGAAGAGAAATAACTAATGGTACGTGGACTTTAAAATGAAAAGAAAGATATATTCTGCATCAAATTCACAGTTTTCGTGAAGCTGGTTGTTAAAGAAGAGCAATGTACTCTGTTGGAATATAGGTGAAAACACAATCTAAAACATCATATCTAACCTCATCATGAATTGCCTAACAAGATAATGGTGATTTCTATATGGAAATGGCATTTTTCAAAAGAAAGGAAAATGAAGGTCCTTTCAGCTTGAAGTAAAAAGTCTATAAGCCCTCATGACATTCAGTATTTCCGTAAAGAAAGTTTTCCATGCAGGGTAGCATTGCTCTAAAAGATAATGAAGAGCACTGCTATACATCACAGATAACTCATTCTCAAATCTATCCCTGTAGATGCGACTACTTTGTTCTCCTCTTTCATCTCAAAACAAAATGGCCATCATTCTCCCATTATTCTCAAAATTGCCTCCAAGAACACTCGAAATGTGCATTGAAAACAAGGTTTGAAGAAAGTTTTCGGTGAAGAGTAGGATTGCTCTACAAAATAAATCGAAGAACAATGTTATACATCACAAATATCTCACTCTCAAATCTATCTCAAGAGATGTGATTATTTTGTTCTTCTCTTTCATCTCAAAACAAAATGACCATCATTCTCCCATTATTCCAAAAAATGGCCTCCAAGTACATTTTGAAATGCATATCCAAAACAAGGTTTTCACAGGGAAAAAAAACATTGGTGGGAAATGCTCATACCAATTGAGTAAATCTTTGTTGTTGTTTTTCCTTTCTTTTTCTTTGTTTTGGAGCTAGAACAATCTTTGTTGCTTCAAAAGAAATTCTAATGACATTGGCCATCTCTCTACCCCAACCATGGAATTCAGTTTCAGCATTCTTATTCATAATTTTTAGATCATTGCTAGATATATCTCAGCAGAAACATTAACGCAGTTTGATCATTCGGATCAAACATCTAAATCTAATATTTCCAAGTTTATACATCTTCAATAAACCCAAATTCTAAGCATAGCTAGATTATTTCCGATAAATTACCCAAAGAAAAAGTCGATGCAACAAATTCAAAATCATTAAAAGAGACATAATTGATCTAGTCAATCAACAGATAGGTATAGAGAGAGATTGCAAGATACAGAAGGATCGTAAACTAGAAGTTCGTGGATGGATTGAATTGAAATTTATTACACCAGAGGCCATAAAAAAGTGCAAACATATATCCACTAAATATAAAAAAGGTGTGCATACATTTGTATATTGGCAAATCATACCTGTTTCCTCAAGGAGTCCCAAGAGCTCGGTGGATCCATGTTTTACGCACACGCACAAGGAGGAGAGAGACGGATAGAGGAAGAGTTGCTTCGTCCGATTTCAAAAATTCTCCTTTGTTTGGACCATTGACAAATGATTAGACTACCTTGCAGAGAGCAGATCGAGTAGTTTTGAAGCAACTTAATCGAGAGAGAGAAAAAAAGAGAGAGAGAGACTTGAAATCGAAGGAAAAGTTCTGTTGTCTCATATGGGTTCGGCCGTCGGTATCTGATAATTACCAAAAAAAAAAAATAGGGGAAAATGGCAGTTTCACCCCGAAATAGTAAACAATTCTTAATTTATACCGTCAAAGACTAATTATTTTAAATTACATTATCAAGTAAATTAATTTGTAGTAATGTGACCCCAATTATAACATTATTGCAATTTTTATCAAATTGACTATCACATGAGATGTATGTTAAAATGGGAAGGGTCATAATTTAACAAAAATCATCATGTGCATTTCACGTGTCTATCAATTTTACGAAAATTGCAATCTCAACCTTAATGTTCATGATGATTTTTATTGGATTGAAAAGCATGTAAGAAGCATGTGAAAAAAGAGAAGCGTCATAATCTGACAAAAGTCATCACGTGCATCTAACGTGGCTGACAATTTGATGAAAATTGTAACGAATGTTATAGTTGGATCACATTGCTATTAATTAATTTAATTGAAGGTATAATTTACAATAATTGATCTTTGAGGGTATAAATTAAATTATTTTCAATCTTTTAGGGTAGAAATAGCTATTTGCCCCTACCAAAAAAAAAAATTTGGGCGGAGGGATAAATTCAGAAGCAAATGACACTTTGCACCTCGAACGTCATTGTATTCTCAAATTACTGGTAGAATCTCATTTTGTACCCTAAAACATTAAATTTTTTTATATTATACCCTTAATGTATTAAAAATATCACAATATATTCATTTCATTAACATTAATTGGATAGATTTTGATGGAATAAGCAACAGGAGTTAAGTAAAGGACCACATTATAACATTTATAAATTCATAAAATAATATAAAAAATTTAATCTTTGAACATACAAAATAAAAAAATTTGAATCATTCATAGTATAATTTACCCCAAATTTTTATTCTAAAATATTAAAATTTTCATATCAGACTCTCAATTAAATTAAAATATAAGAAAAATTACACCCAAACCAGATGAAATTTGTCACTTAATCACTTAAACCCCTAACATTTAAAATATTATTCACAAATCCTCTAAAATTTGTACAAGCGTTACACTTGAACCCGTTAGTATATCCATTAATAAATTGCACTCAAACTTCTTAAAGTTTGTAGGTGTGTAACACTTAAACCCCTTATTAGTTACGAAATTAACAAAATTTATCAAACAATCAAATTACCTCAATTTAAAATAGAAGATATTGTGTCCATTATAGTTTGACTTTTATTTGATTTTTTAGTTTATTATAATAGATTTTATATTTGTATACAAATAAGTGTTGAATTGAGTTTTTTGATATATTTTATATTAGTTACTATTTTTTTCAAAAAATTGAAATTTTATTTGAGTTTTATGTCAATAGATGATAGAATAGAACATGCAAATGTTTCTCAAAAAGTACAAAGGATTTACTTTTTATTTTCAAGGAATAAAACTTTATTTATGTCCTTTATGTTTGTTTGAAGGGATGAAAAGTAAAAATAATGACTTTTTATCCCTCGTACTTTTTAGAACATTCNAGAACATGCAAATGTTTCTCAAAAAGTACAAAGGATTTACTTTTTATTTTCAAGGAATAAAACTTTATTTATGTCCTTTATGATTGTTTGAAAGGATGAAAAGTAAAAATAATGGCTTTTTATCCCTCGTACTTTTTAGAACATTCATATTAACTTTCTTTTTCTTTTTAAGCCCAATTTAGTACTTAGAGGATAGAATTTGTAGGATAGATCATATGCTCTTTTACTTCCTTCTACTTTTCATTACTAACCAAATATATTGTTTTACTAATTCCCTATTTTTTTATCCCTTTATTTTTTTGTATTTCTATTTTCTATACCGCTTTACTACTCATTATTTTTTTTTCTTCGGTTTTTTATCAATTTACTTATCTAACTATTTACAAATAATTCAATCCAAATAAACAACTCTTCTCAAAAAAATAATTTTAAGAACTTTTTGTTCTGGTTATAGGGGACAATAATTTCAGATCAATTTTATTTTTATTGTTAGAAAAATGTTATGCTTGTAAAATAGAAAGAAAAAAAAACTGGTTAATGATACATCTGTCAGCTATATCCTATATGACTTGCCCTCAGTTAGAAAACAGAACAGTACTAAAACATTTACTGTCCAAAATGGCAACCAAAACCACCCATCAACTCTGCCAGGCCTAAACTTATCCAAAAAACAGTAACATTTGGTCCCTTTTTTGTCTCCATCTTTTTACAAGTTTTTGTATGACTTCTTAATGAACCCAACGAGGACTTGAACCATACTCTTTTCATGATAAAGACCTTTTGATTTAAAGTTGGCATTCAATAGTTTAAAAGAAAAGGTTAATAGTCTGTCTAAAGGCTATTCCCTCTGCTTTTAGACCTTAAGATCATGAGTTTGAACTTTGTTTTTTTTCTCTCTTGTAACAGTGTCTAACAAATTAGTAATAGTTTAAAAGAAGGTGGCAAGAACACCATGCTCCTCTATATATTTGTGAGTTCGAAATTTAAAAGAAGAGGCGACGGCTAACTCTAAAATTGTTAAATTAATACTTATGTTGCCTAGTTTAATCTTTTAGAAGAGTTGGTAGTTAATAAAAAATATTTATTTTTTGAAATAACTAATTCATATTCTATTTCCTGATTATATGGCATTTTTCTGAAAAAACCACAAGTTGTAAAAGAAGTGATAAATTTCACATTTCAATTATGAGCTTAACTCTAATTAAAATTTAGATGAAAAGTATGATTTTCTTTTCTTTTTTTAATGAACTATGATGTATCCGATTCTCTTAGAACACCCAACTAATTTGTCTAAGAACATATAATTCCCCGTCTTAAATGCTGTGAATACATAATTAATAGGATAATCATTGAGAATAATCGTGTAACAACTTCCAACTCAAGACCTTTAACTTTGTAATGGTAAGATTACACTTTGTTCAACTTAAATAAGTAACAAATAGAAGTAAATATAACCCTCCGTTCAATTAGGCTTATGCTTAGAGGAAATCAATGAACCTAACAAAGAACATTAGCAGAGGAGAATCATCCTCAAATCATTTTCATATTCTTTGCTCGAGCCCTCTTCCAGAGCTTAGGAGTCCAACTAATTGCCAACTTGAAAAAGATAGAGGAATTGACACTTCCCATATGGAGGAGAAGGCAAGGTTGAGGAGTTAGAAGAAGATCTTAGTAATTCCTTTGATAATGATCTTTTTAAAAGGGATCTCTGATCTAAAGAGAAAAACAGGAGAAAGATCCATGGAATGATTCAAAGTTTGAAGGATAGAAGATCAAATATTACTTGTTTGTAATATAGTCTAGTGCTTTCCTTTTGATGTAGGGTTGTAAGAGCTTGACTGCTCTTTTAAATATTAAGTTAAAGAGCAAGAACACAATGTTCCAAAACAACAATCATGTAACGAAGAATGTATGCATGTATGTATGTATAGTTTGGGAACCCTATATATGTATTCAAATGATCTCACTGCCATTGTAGTTTCTGAGCTTCACCTCTCTAACAATGGCGAGCCTAAAAATCCCTTTACCACTCTTTCTTGTGGTCTTTTATACAGTCATAGATAATTGTGCTTCAATCTCTTCAGCAATGCCTCCCAACTTTCTTGTGCCTTCTCCGGTTTCTCGCTCGATATCTGAACCCGTGACCACTTCTAATTCTCATCCATCAGCTTCAATTCTTACAGCTCGGGGGATCAAAGCGGCTTATTGGCCATCGTTTACTGGATTCCCCGCGTCATCTATTGACACGTTGTATTTCACACATATTTACTACGCCTTCCTCTTACCTGATCCGAATACTTACAAACTTAATGTTACACCATTAGACCAGGAAAAGCTCATTGAGTTCATGGTGGCGCTCAATGCCCTAAACCCACCCGTCAAAACTCTTGTATCCATCGGAGGAGGAGGTAATGACCCGAATGTGTTCTCTAAGATGGTAAGTAGCGAATCAACTCGTGCCATTTTTATTAATTCCACAATCGAATTTGCTAGAAAATACGGGTTTGATGGTGTTGACCTTGATTGGGAGTTCCCAGCAAATGACCGAGACATGTCAAACCTTGGTTTATTATTCAAGCAATGGCAAGAGGCACTTCAAAATGATGCTAAGGCTACAAATAAAACTCAGCTTTTACTAACTTCCGTTGTTTATTATACTTCAAAAATTATCTTTTCTGGTGAATTGCGGGCATACCCTGATCACGCTATTGGCAAATATATAAATTGGATTAGTCTAATGTGCTTCGATTATCACGGGTCGTGGGACTCAGTCACGGGTGAGCACTCGGCTCTGTATGACCCTACTAGCAATATTAGCACTAAGTATGGAATCGAGTCCTGGATTCAAGCCGGGGTACCACCCAAAAAGGGAGTCATGGGACTACCATTGTATGGCAGGACATGGAAGCTCCAAGACCCGAATGTTAATGGAATCGGAGCACCCGCCGTGGGTGTTGGGCCTGGGGATGGCATATTGATTTATTCTCAAGTGGTGGATTATAACAGTGAGAATAATGCCACTGTTAAGTTTGATGAACAAACTGTTTCCTTTTATTCTTATGCTGGAGATTCATGGATCGGGTATGATGATGTCGAATCCCTGAAGCTGAAGACCCGGTTTGCCCGGTCACGGAATTTGGGTGGATATTTTTTCTGGGCTCTTGGCCAAGACAATAACTGGACCCTCTCAAGAGAAGGTAAAGATTGCATTACTGCAAGTTTTGTAAATTGTTTCCACCCATTGATAATTATTTCTTTTCTTTCCTTTCCTTTTGTGTTTGTGGCTTTGTCTAGAAATTTAAATTGCAACTCAAATGAGTTTGGCGGGTTGACAAGTCAACTTGATTACAACCCAATATATATCAAACTGTCAACCCGAGTTCAACTCGAACTCGAATTTAACCTAGACCCTTCAATCCGAGTATTGTCCATGTAAATTTTAAAACTAGGTTAGCAGTCGAGTTAAAATACAATTGAAATTGGATTTGGTTCTCAAGTTGCACCATTCATACTAGAATTTGTGTTACACTCGAGTTGAACCCAAATTTGACTATCAGATTCAAGTTTCACTTGGGTTGAATCCAAATTTATTGATTTGGGTTAAAACCAAAGAAGTCGAGAACCCAACTCAAATATAGCCCAAATTTAACATATGCACATTACCAAAATTCTACATTTACCTATTGTTATCAAAACATTCATGTAAAGAATGATTGTGCTTATATACCTATTCATGTTTACCAGGATACCATTCTGTAACCTTTTTAAGTATTTTTGTTATTTTTTAGTACTTTTTTAAATATCACACGTTTGTTAATATCTATTTTTCTTTTTACTATTTTCTTTTCAGAACTTGCTCCCTTCTTGTAGCATTTAACGCAAATACAATAATAAGAATAAGTATATACTATTTTACAAGTCTGTTTTCTCCTTAAAAGAATATACTTGTAAAATAATTACAACCAGGACATAAGTTCTACGACTTTTGCTATTGATGTTTTCTAAATTCGTAGCCATCGATGGATATATATGGTGGATCGGAGGTTAATTTCCACTTAAAAGGATTGAAAAATCACCCTTAATATGAAAGTTCTCAATCTATATTGTTTCGTCCCTACGCTTGTTAACATGCCCTGTTGAATTTTGTCTAGATGCTATTGGATAACTTTGGCAAGCTTCTCATAAATTCTTTGGCAATCTAGCTAGCTACTATTTTTTTTAACAAGATCTAATTGATCTATTTGACCTTGATGGGACAATTTTATCTGCCTATGACTCCTACTACCTAAATAACATGATTAACATTAGGTATGACCACTAGGATCCTTATAGGCAGTGTGCTAAAGTGGTCGCTCGACTCCCATGCTTAACATTCTAAACTCTTTGGTATAAAATTAATCAATGATCCCCTAATAATGGCCAATGATTAAAGTTGTGATTATTTACTAGACTGATGGAGGCCTATTTAATCCAAGGGTTGACTATGGTACTCGAAAAAAAATGGGTATCATACCTCTATTTATCACATTTATAGTTATTTTTATCATATTTGTGGTACTCAAAAAAATGGTAAAAATTAGGGAAATTTGGAGGCCACTCCCCCTAGATAGACTTGTTTGAAGATAAGTCCTGTAAGGAAACTTATTTGGTTTCAAGTCCACTTTTTGTGAATTTTACTATTATACCCTTAATTATTAAAAAACCTCAAACGGCGTGTAACTTGCCATTTCTAAACCAGACGGAAAAACTTTTCGTTGCCGACTAGGAACCCAGTAACTTCCCCTTCATTCTAGGCTACAAATCCGGCAATATTCCTCAAATCTTTCTCATTTTTCTTCTCCGAAAAACATAAACCGCCATTACCCAAACCGAATCAATTCAAATTTCAAATTGGTTTCAAACCATAAGACCGAAAATCAGTTTTACACTTCAAGTTTCATTGGCGAAAGTTACAATTGGTCTCGGCATTCAGGAAATCTTCACAAAACTTTGGGATTCTTAAAAAACTTGAGAGGTATGTGATTTTTCATGATCTTTGATGTTTGTTTTAGGGTTTTAAAACAACATTTACAAACTATATCATTCATACTGTCCATAGTTTTTTTTTTTTTTTGACAATAAAATTGTGATTCCTTGTTACTATATTGAAGAGTTAGGTATTATGATTTTGTTTTTTTTTATTTCGTTTTGTAATACTTTCGAAATTCATTGGTGTGGTTTCTGTGGAATTCCTCTTGTTACTGTTAGAGCACTTTCCAAAAATGTATTAGGGAAAATTCGATATCTTGAATTTGATGTTCTTTGTTTTGGATTTCTAAATTTTAAAATGAGATTCATTATTACGAATTAAAAGTGGAATTGATTTCTTTGTTGTTACAGACAATCAATTAGTAATTGATTTTATAGCTGTGAAAATACATCATGTTACTGTGTGTTAACTACAATATGTGTTTCATAATTTCAATGTTTGAGATTCCTTGATGTTACTGTGAATTGACGCTACTATGAATGTGTTAATAATCACAATCCTTTGATTTTTCTTTGAGAATTAAAGGTATATGTTACACCATAGATCTCTCAAGCTTTGCATTTCCTAGTGTAAAGCCAAAATTGATATTACTTGTCTGTTACTCTTTGAAATGCTTGCAATCTTCATTGTGCAATCTTCAATTCAACTGATTTCCTTCTCACTGGGATTCAGTTAAGAAATTAATGTTACTAAGATGTTGTTACTGTGTTTACATCAGCAACTTTGGTGTTACTGTTCATGTTATATTTGCACATATTTTTTGTTAATTGTTGTATATCCATTAAGTTAAGTGAATTTGTGTCATGTTAATATATTCTATTCAGTTATTGATAATTCACTGTCATATTATAGGTTGATGGCTCCAAAAACATCCTCATTTCACCAATTCAGGTCCAACTTGTTGCCAATGATGAAGGTTATTAGTGACCTAAACATCAAAGATGTTCACGAATAACAGTTGAGGAGAACACCATTTTGATATTCGTATCATACAATATCAACATCTGAAGTTGATAAGGAATAGTTCAAGAAGAATGACAAAAGTATTGTGAACATCAATACCACGTTTGGTGTTGAAACATCCAGATTTAGAATTGGTGAAAAAAATTTAAAGATACGGAAGACTGATGTATCTCTCATTTTTGGTATAAAAGATGGTGTGGATCCAATTGTTTCCCCCCAAAGTGCAAAGAAAATGTCACCTTTTGTAAGGAGGAGATTCAATAACACCCAAAGATTGAATGCACCAATTATAAAAAGCAGGTTGGAGGATGCTGCAATGGGTGATGGTAAGAAAGATTGTGAAGACTTTACTAGGTTATTTTCTTTATATGTCTTAGTGACATTATTGATTACAAATATGGGGCAAATAATTGGATGAGGGTATGTCTTATACATTGAAAATTTAGATGAAAGCAAAAGATATGACTGGTGTCAAACAGCAATTGATGCAATGATTAATTCTATACGGTTGAAGATTGACACATCGAGTGCAGTAACTGGTTGTGTACTACTATTACCTGTAAGTTTTTTATTGCTAATTTTTATGAATTTTTTTTTATAATCATTAAACATTATATGTTCTAACTAATGTAACTAACTCTAATTTGCAGTATTGGATATGTGAACAGACATCTCTTGTTGTAGCTGACCAGGCGGATGCTTTCCCATGTTAGATGAAATGGGATTTAAGAAAACCTTGAATGTCTCTCGCACAAAACACATTGTCCAATATCGCAGATGATCAGATGTTATAAAAAATTTGGTTTAGCGTATTTCTATTAATTTTGACAATTGGTTAATTGCATGACAATGTTAATTTTGTGATCAACGTCACTATAGAAAATTGTTGTTAATGTGGATGTTACTGTGAATGTTACTGTGCAATTAATGTTACTATGGATGTTACTGTGTAATTCACAGTCATTAGATTCAAATGAGATGAGCATTTATTGGGTACATATTTTTCACGATACAAATCATGTTGTCAGGTTTTCCAAAGATTTCTCAAGAAAACACTTGGTGAGAAGACCTTAATGAAAGTAATTCGAAAAAATTTCAAGAATGTGCTGGCAAGTTTGGAGGTTCCACAACAAAGCACTATTGTCAGTAAGATTGCTTTAAATTCAGAATTGGAATACGCAGGTGATGCACCTAATCTAGCTATTGATAATCATATTTTTGTTAATGAAGATGTCCAGGAAAGTGATGATGTAGTTCATGTTCCTACAAACGATCATCCTATCCAAAAGGAGACTCAAAATGTCCAACAGTTTGATGCGTTTGTTGATGTGGTCATTCGAGAATTTGCATTTATGGAACCAGATGAAGTGGTAACATGAGAGGAAAAGTCACAACAACCTTCCCATGACAATGAAGGTTCGTTTGGATTGATTGTTGAAAATGAGGTGCAAAAATTTACTATCCAAATGCTGACTGTGGAGAACAAAGCACTTTGAACGGTCATCAAGAATATTGGGGGCAACTAAAGGGAGGAAGATTTGAAAGAGATTGAAATATAAGCGTGAAACTAGTTGACAGGGACAACCAAATTTCAGAATTGAAAGTTTTAGTTGATCTCTTGGAGAAAAACAAAGAAACACAAGAAGATCAAATTAAAACACTGACATCAAGGGTGTCCGAATTAGAAGAAGAGAACAATTTCCTGCATAATGTTGTAGTTGATATGGTTGTGCATGCTGTTACACAAAGGTACCCACGAACTCTACCAAAATCTCAGGCCACCGAAGGTACAAAACAAACATCGATGGTGAGAAAAATCAAAAGGAAAGAACGAAAAAGAAAGAGAGATGAAGATTATGAGTATAATAGGAAAAAACATGGAGAAAAGAAAAAATTGAAACAAGTTGAAATCCAGGAACAAGTTGACAAAATTAAAGGGAATGAAAAGATATCAGATAGCTGCATTGATGTTGATGATTTGGATATTATAATGCCAAGTGAGAAGCTAGAAAGTAAGAGAGTTGAAGCCCGAAGATGGAAAGCCTGCAAGAAATTAGGACTGGATGTGTATGACAAATTGGTTCAAATGCATAAGGGAAAAAAAATAAGTAACTTAATGCCCCATTATGAAACACCTTTATTAACACGTAGTGTTTTTAATTAAAATGACAACTTTATGGAGTGGAAAGAAGTATGGAAATATCATTAATATTGATAATGTGTTGAAATTCATGGATGGGAAAGAACTGCACAACAATGTAATGTACCACGTGTCTTGACAATTTAAACAAATTATGGAATACTTAAATATTTGTTATTTAACAAAATCGTGTTATTACTCAGGTGATTGATTGTTGGGGAGAAATACTGATGGAGGAAGCAAATTGCAAATATTTCTTTTTCAACAGTCCGTGCTGGGTGAGTTTGTGTAATCTATGTTGAATTCTTGATTACTGGATTATTGAATTACTAACATGAGTATAGTTACATGCNGTTTGTGTAATCTATGTTGAATTCTTGATTACTGGATTATTGAATTACTAACATGAGTATAATTACATACAAGTTACTATAGTAACACAAATACAATAACATTCGTTTTACTATGAATGAAACTATTGTAACACTACTGTGTTTGTGTTACTATAGTAACATGAATGCCAACAATCCATGCTCGGTGAGATTGTGTAATCTACGTTGAATTATTGATTGCTGAATTATTGAAATAGTAACATGCATGTTACTATAATAACACAAATACAGTAACATTCGTGTTACTATGAATAGAACTATTGTAACACTGCTGTTTTGGTGTTAATATAGTAACATGAATGTTACTGTATAAAATAACAGTTGTGTTACTATTCTATTTTGACATTATTCAGTCTCTAAAATTTATGGGTTACTATTGATTAACATGTAGACATTCGTAACGGTTGGGGGGTAAGAACACTCACGGCAGGTTGAGATAGACAACAATCTGAACATGAGACNAAAGTAAGAGAGTTGAAGCCCGAAGATGGAAAGCCTGCAAGAAATTAGGACTGGATGTGTATGACAAATTGATTCAAATGCATAAGGGAAAAAAGTAAGTAACTTAATGCCCCATTATGAAACACCTTTATTAACACGTAGTGTTTTTAATTAAAATGACAACTTTATGGAGTGGAAAGAAGTATGGAAATATCATTAATATTGATAATGTGTTGA